CTCTCTCTCTCTCTCTCTCTCTCTCTCTCTCTCTCTCTCTCTCTCTCTCTCTCTCTCTCTCTCTCTCTCGCTATACCAAGTACTGACCTGCGAAAGGTGGTGCCTTGATCCAGGTGCGGACATGCTGAAGATGGAGCTGGAGCAATGGCTATGCAGGTAAGTCTCAGGTAAGTCCTCAGGCCGCCATCACCATCTCTCCCTCCCTGCGCTGCTCTACCCTATCAGCGCCCAGTGCTGGAGACTACCTTCTAAACCCGAAAAAAACGTACGTACCTTGTATACGAATACAACGTACGGGGTACGTTGTATTCAAATACAACATACGTACGTTATAGAACGAGTTTTAGGGTACAACTTTTCAGAAGCCTGTAGTACCGCCATTGTTTTTATTTTTATCTCAAATTTGGTTGGGAATTTCGCCAAGACCCTCAGGCAAAAGTTGTTTGCATTGCAATGTTGTACAACATACTTTCTTTTCGGATTTTTTACTGAAGTTTTTTTTTAAATCGAAATTCTGAAAAAATCAGTAAAAAACATTTTCATTCTCGTTTTTATTTTTTTCTCGAATTTTCTCATGAATTTCGATAAGACCCTCAGGCAAACGTTGTTTGTATTGCATTGTTGTATAACATTTTATTTTTTTTCGGATTTTTTTGATTATTTTTGAAAAATCAAAGTTCCAAAAATTTGAATACAACATACGTACATTGTATTTGTATTCGAATACAACGTACGTACGTTATATTCAAACGTACGTTCTATTCGGGGAAAAACAAGCGATTTCTGAAAACCCAATTTCCAGAGGTTATTTGAATAGAACGTATGTACGTTTTTTTGGGGTTAAGAAGGTAGTCGTATCGTCAACTACTACTGTGCTACTGTTGTCCGAAGTATGCCTCCTCGATCCTCTACTCCAGAATGAGGAACTGAGGCCGGACCCAGCTATATGTAGCGCTGGGTCAGCCTCAGCCGCTGAGTCCTGGCGCTCAAACTGAGGCTGGGCCTCAAAGTTTGGCGCCCAAACTGAGGCTGCTCCAGCGCCTACCAAAACGGCACGGCCTCAAAGTCAGGGCCTTGGCGCCAAAACGCGCGCCAGGGCCTGTACCCAAAATGAGGCCTATCGGGCCTCTAAACTGGTACCGGTCGTACTCGGCCTAGACTCGGCCTACCGACCCTGCGGACCCTGCTGAGGGTTGAAACGGCGCAGACCCTACACCTACGGACCCCTAGTCTACCTGGTTGGGCCCTGCTGGGCCCTTGTGGGACTGAGTATGCCACAGCTGGGTTATTAGGGGTTCTGGACACTTTTTTTTTTTCTTTTTCTTTTTTTTGCGGGGTGCCGACGACCCGCGACCGGTCGGCTGGTCGGCAGCCAACCAGTCGAGGGCTGCCAACCGTCGGGGTATGCAACACTAGTCTGATTCCTTTTTTCTTCGCAAGTCGTAGAAAACTGTTAAGGCCGAAAGAACCCTGCAGAGCATTGATTGATTACTCCTTATCAAGGCCGATTGACTGTCAGATAACCTAGTCCGTCCTTCCTCCAAGTCCTCTGAGTCTCCCTTCCTCCAAGTCCTTTTAGTCTCTGCATTTCCAAGACTATCAGATTGACTTGGAGAATTGCCGAAGGTCCTGGCTTGAAGTTACTTCGCTGTTGTTGTCTTGGTTCTTATGAAGGTTGATGCGTGTGCCGAGCTGTCCAGTTCGGTGTAGCCGTCTGAGAGTTGTTATGCCCTTCTCCCTTGTGTATGTATGATGCCATTTCCTCCAAATAAGGCGGTTGTGATGCATCTCTGTCTTTTCCTCCCAGCAACCATCCGTTAGCAAACACTTTTCTTCTCCTTCGGAACTGTTCTGCTTTTTTCTTCGCCATGCGCTTTACGTCGGTCCATATCTCTATATCGACCATTTGATCAATTCGACCGATTGGGACTGCACTGCTCCTTTGATTACTGCTTATCATTGATTTCAATTTCGACCAGTTGGTACTGCGCTGTTTCTTTGATTACCATTTGTCCCCCGATTGTCTGTGAAAAGTGTGAACCCCTCCATCTGAATCCTCCAGAGTGTGGCTTTTCTGATTAGCTGGAATCATGTCTTTGTTTCGCCTCACGGATTGTGGAGCAGGTGACATACCCTGTTTTTCTTTTTTCGGATTCAAACTTGGGGGTCTGTATTTGAACAGTTGATGTGTGTACCAACGGAGCTAAGTTCGTTCGTGGGACATGCCCTTTTTGGTTTTTGTTTTCTTTCTTTCTTTTTGTGGTTCTAAACCACCAAAATACCTCTGGGCCTCTTTTTCCTGTTTCGGATTTACACTGCGCAGAACACACCAAATAAAACCGAACTACCACGGGCACGTTCTCGAGTTCGTTTTGGCTGGCACCCCCGCCAACCATTTCGGTCCCACACGAATGTGTTCATCCAGGAATCCCATGGTGCCATGATAGTGGTCAAATTCGTACGAAGTTTGCCTGGGAGAGGTGCCGGTGATTTGATGATTTCTACCAGTGGAAATAGACATCTTCCTATTCAGGGCATTTTCTTTTCATTTTCCCTGCGCAAGTTTGGACCGTTTCTCGGTTTATGCGTGTCATCCTTGGCGAAGGGCCCATGCCAATCTTCTCTGTATCGTTAAAATTTTCACAGATGCCCCGATGGACATTCAGGACCCTTTTTCTTGTTAAATGTTTGTGAGAAATTTTGAGTCTTTTCGACCGTTCTCGCTTCGTCTTTGATTTAAAATTCAGCAGCAAATGTGTAGAAACTTAGAAAGACTTTGATGATTCACCGCATGCAGCCATGAGAGCCTCCAAAATTTTCAAATAACTTTTTTGACACCAATGAAGTTCATTCCAGAATTCAATTCGTGTCTGAAATTGGGTGTGTAAGCGACTGCAGTGATAGTAGCTGTTATTATCCACAAGTGCAGTGGCTGCTCTATTCTGATTACCACAGCTACTATCTGTGCAGTGAAAAAGGCGATCTCAGCAGAGGTAACAGCAACTGCCATGCACAGTGAAAAAGGCGACCTCAGCAAATGGTAAAATCAGGTGCCCACTCTATTCTCGTTAGCACAGTGTTTTTTTTTTTTTTTTTTTTTTTTTTTTTTTGGCAGTGTAAAGGTTGAGCAGCGATAAAGTCAGGTGCAGTAAAAGCTGTTAATGGTAAGCGGGAAGGACAAACCCCGGTGCAGTGATAAGGAAGCTAAAGCCAGGGTTAGCCAATTTTTTTAGCTAGCAAAATATAGCTGCAGTAAAAGCCAGGTAAAGAAACCTGGTTCCTCAACTGTATGTGGTTTTCTCTATTGCTCGTGTGATCTACAGTTGAGGAACCAGGTTTCTTTACCTGGCTTTTACTGTAGCTATATTTTTCTTGCCAAAAAAAAAAAACATTACGAAGTAAAACCAGGCAAAACCAGGTAAAACCAGGTAAAACCAGGTGGAACTGGGTAAACCAGGGGAAAGCAGGTAAACCAGGGGAAAGCAGGTAAAAGCAGGTAAAAGCAGGTAAAAGCAGGGAAAGCTTGGTAGCATTCATTCTAAGCCAGGATGAAACTCTTTTTGTTTTTAATTATTATTATTAAGGTGGCTTCATTTCTGGAATGTAGGATTTGAACTGAGGCAAAAGTTAGCGAGGGGTGAAGTGAGGTAAAACCGTAAAACATTACCAGCGAAGGCATGATACCGTTAGAAATCAGGCAAGGCATACTGGAGCAGAGCGCTGGTGTTTTTATTTCATAACTTTTTCCGGAGAGAAGACCATCTTCTCGTGGTGCAAGGAAGGAGATTGAGAATTGCAGTGTATTTGACTGCGGATTGTGTGTTGAAGTGATCCATGGATCATTCATTTTAATTGGATATGAAGAGATCGTTTTTTGATGCCATAGCAATCAACTCCGGTGGTGTGTACATTGATTAAATTATTAGTTGTAATTTGTCTTCTTGGATCTGTGCAGGTCAATCCTTTTTGCCCGATATGCAGATCATTGTTCGATATCATCACAAAGAGACGGCTGTGTTCCGAAGACGAGGCGGTTATACCGTTGCCGAAGCGCAAGAAGCTTGAGTTTGGCTCATCTTCGCATAATACAAATGCGATCAACATCCTCGACGATGTGAGTTTCTCGTCGTTTTTTCCTTTGTTTTCTCTTTCCTCTTATGTTTTGCCAAGCTGCAAATGCTCATCCATTTTCCATGGCGTCGCTGCCTGCATCTCTACTGACTGCTGCCGTTGTTTCGGCCCCTCTCCGATGAAACTTCTGCTGACTTCCTGTTTCGCGGAACGTCCTTCCTCAAATGTTGGAGGAGCTGAATCATCGCCAACCTGTCATCGCCGACGGGCTCCGTGCTACGCTGCTAAGCGTTTGAGGCTTGGTGTTCGCAGTCAGCGCTGGTGCACATCCGTGTGATGGGTTGGAGCTGAAATCTCCACAGCCGCGTATCAACCTGACCATTGACAAATTGAACAAGGTGAGACCGCAAAGCTTGACCTTTTACCTCGCGCAGCTCGGCGGATCCATTTGCACTTAATAATAATCATTCCTTGCTTAGGGCTTTGCTCAACTACTCACCAAATGTGCAAAATGAGAATGAGTCTTCCGCTGGAATATGGGAAGATATGCCACCATATCTTTTCATCTTTTGTGCATCTGGCGAGCAGTGGAGTGTTTTATAACTTTTATTCTGACTTGATAAAAAATCCTGCCTCACTGGTGGAAAGAGGAACTGCACGGACGTTCTCAAGAATAGAAAGAAGCGAGGAACGACCATAAGGGGACTGTTCAAGGGCGGGTGGGTAAAGTAAATACTAAATAGACTCTTTCACTCTCTGAATTTCCTACGGCGACCTTTTTCTGTCGTTTGGACTGTTTCGGAGTCTTTCCTTTGAGTTGTTCAATCCTTCAATCCTTTCTTTTTTTTTTGTGTGTGAGGCAGAGCTAAGAATGAAAATGCCTTGGGTATCTACTATCTAGGCATTCCTTCCAATGCTGCTCCTTGTCACCGTAAACCTGAACAGAGAAGCAAAACACTGAAAAGGTCAAACAGGCAGTAAGGTTTTTCTTTCCTCCCCCTCCTCCCCTTGGAACGGTGTTAACGGACACATGAGTTGTTTTGCCCCCGGAACGGTGTCGACTGACATATCTGTTATTTGCTCTGCTGTCACACGCCGTGGCATGTTGTTCTGTGTG